GATCAGTAAAACTAGAAATGTAAAATCCCATTTAGTTAGCTAACTGGTTAGCCAGTTAAACTTGCAGTGGGTGAGGGTGCTACTCAAGCCCAGCTGGGCTGGAAAGCCCCCTTTCAACAGTTTCTGAAGAGCAACTGTATACTCATTCACTGAGTTTTTAGCCACTGCATCATGTGGAATCTAACCCTTTCCACCAAAGAGTTTATTTCCTGAACACTGGAAATATGGAGTACACCAGTCCATGGCTCACTACGGATGAGGGCTGCCCCAGCCGTACTCGTTAACTATAACTGGTAAACCTCACACATTAAGGCTGGGGCCTATGGGTTAACCGTCAACATCCCCGAAGTGAAACTGTCCCATCTCCCCTTTGCATGTATACAGAATTGTTTGGAAGCTAGTTATACTCTTAACGTGCAGGTGTGAACAGACTTAATTGTTGTGTGAGCGCTACGTTTCTGAAACTCCTTTCATTTCACAGCAGAATTAGCTTGTTTAATGAGCCAGTTTTTGGCTGTGTGAAAGCAAGGCTTAAGAAGTCCTATTTCTTGTCTACTGTTGATTTGCTTTCCAGACTTCTCTTAATTCTGGGAAAGTTATGACACAAAGATGTCAAAACAATACCCATAATCAAAGCTCTGTGAGTGGAAGCGGGGGGAGAGGGCGATTCCTGTGCCTCTGCAAATATCTATTTGAATTTTATTTAGATTTGTACTAAAAGGGCATTCATCTTGTGCACTCAGTTCTGAAGAGCAACTGTACACCCATTTACTGAGTTTTTAGCCACTGTATTATGTGGAATCTAACCCTTTTCACCAAAGAGTCTATTTCCTCAACACTTTAAAGTTTTCCCTCTTTAATCCTCTGATCTGTGTTGCATATTGAAGGTATTTACATTCCCAGATACTTCACTTTAAGAAACTTGAACAATTTGTTTTTTAACTTCTTATAGAAAAAAAATACATTTAGAGGCTACACAATTTGTACAAAATTTGCTGCTAAAAGAACTCATATTGAAATTGTTAAAATATAAACCTACATTTTAAGACCAAGATAGAGTTGCTTGTAATATGTAAGGCAAACACAGCCACATCCTACAAGGTTATCCCTAAATTTTTTTAGTTGAAGTATGAATGCACGTGGAGTTGATGCTGACTTTAGATGTTTGTGAATTGTTTGGGGCAGTAGTTCTAGTTTTGTACAGTGTGAAATAAAACATGCGTGTTTCTTAATATTAAACTTATCACCTGAGCTCCTACCATCATATCAAAAACATTATGTGAAAAAGTTTGAACCTGGAACGTTGGAACTTCAGAGTGCTGCTACAGGTTACACTTGAGGCTCTGTTAGCACGTAATGTGTATGACTGGCATGAGCTCATAGTATATCTACTGAGGAAAGTAGGCAGAAACATTGCCAGCACTTAATGCCATTCCTGAACTAATGCCTGCTGGCTTGGCAGTAAACATGGGCCTTTTAATAAGCTGGAGACAAAGTGACATTCGGAAGAAACAACATGTAGACAATTTCCTTAATAAATTTTGTACGAACACATTAGTTCCACCTAATGGCAATGTAGATCTCTTAAATAATTGAGAGGCTATATTCATCAGCGATGAGTTCAGCTGGGATCTCTTTGAGCTGAGGCAACCTGCAGCCCCTTGAAAGACAAGGTAATTGATATTTTACACAAGTGACTCAGAGAGGTTTTCAGGTGCAATCTATGGACTAATCTACCAACTCTCTACATGCATTACTGCTCTTCCTAACACTAGTCAGAATTACAGTGCAACATGGTTGGTATGTAAGTGACAAAACCACAGCAGGTGCCAAGGCTTTGGCACTAACTCACTTGAAAAACATGGTTTAATGCTGGTTAAATCAGCTTGTCCACTTCTTTCCTTATGACTTACTCATTTTGTGTAGCTTGACTAGTAGATCCATTTTACTTTAAACCAGGGTTACTCAACTTTGGAAGGTCTGGGGACCACAATGATACTCACAGCACATGCCAAGGGCTGCAACTTAAGCATGGTTGCATATACACGCAAATATATACAAATAGCTTCTTTCACACGGACAGGCTTGAAAACCAAGATTAAGCCTTAAATCAGTGGTCTCCAACCTTTCGTGGCTGCTGGGCACCCATGGGTGGGGCTGCTCATGTGCCGGTGTCCGGGGGCGGGGCCGCTCATGCACTGTGCTGCTGGGGCCGGCGCCGTGCATGTGCCGCGCACCCAGGGGTTGGGGCCGCCCATGTGCTCTGTGTCCGGGGCTGGCACTGCGCATGTGCTGCGCACTGGGGGTAGGGTCCACCCAGGGCCAGCACCGCGCATGGGCCGCACGCCCGGGGGTGGGGGCTGCCCATGCGCTCTGAGCCCAGGGCTGGTACCATGCATCTGCCGTGTGCCCAGGGGTTGGGGCCGCCCACACACCCTGAGCCCAGGGCCGGCGCCCGGGTCAGGGGCCACCCATGTGCTCTGTGTCCGGGGCTGGCACTGCGCATGTTCTGCGCGCTGGGGGTAGGGGCCGCCCACGTGCCCTGAGCCCGGGGCCGGCACCACACATGTGCTGCATGCCAGGGGGCGGGGCCGCCCACGCGCCCTGAGCTCGGGGCTGGCACTGCATATGTGCCAGGGGTAGGGGCTGCTCACATGCCTGGGGCTGGCACCACGCATGTGCCGCGTGCCGGGGGCGGGGCCAGCCCAGATGTTTTGGCGGGCGCACATAAATGCCCCGGCTGGTGCTATGGCACCTGCGGGCACCGCGTTGAGGACCACTGCAAAAATCATGGCTTTGGATCCAGCCATGGCCAGTATGAGCCAGTCAGCCTTATGGGCAGAGCTTAAGAGGTGCTAAGCAGCCAGCGCTTCCCACAATGCTCCACTGCTCCTCCTCCCTGGGGACTAGAAATGCTAACACCCTGTACCTGTCTGTTCCAGCCAGCCCATCTGCTTGTGTCCTTCAATGCTCACCCTGCCTGGGAGACGCCTCACCATTGTGGAGCATGTTCCCAGTGGAGGCCATGTTCAAAGGATCCCACCCATGGGCCATGTGTTGAGCCCCGTGTAAACTGAAACTGCTCTGTGGGCCGCATGTGTTGAGTAGCCCTGCTTTAAACTGTTTTTTGGCCAAGGTGATATTTGCTGCAAATCACTTTCCCATCTCTTCAGAATTAAATTTCTCTGATTTAGTTCTTCTATTTTTCAGTTTTCCAAGAAAATAATAGAAAAATATAAAACAGGACTATGTATCACTTTAAAGACTAACAAGATAATTTATTAGGTGATGAGCTTTTGAGTGCCAGACCCACTTCCTCAGATCAGTGGATCTGGCCTGCGAAAGTGGGTCTGACCCACGAAAGCTCATCACCTAATAAACCATCTTATTAGTCTTTAAAGTGCTATGTAGTCCTGTTTTTTGTTTCAGCTATACTGACTAACATGGCTACATATCTATTACTATAGAAAAATATGTAATTTCTGAAAGCAACTCTGATATTCCTAACCAAGCTGGAACTAGAAATTTGGGGAATAGGACCTTAACTCTAAGGATTTTCAAATAGTCAAGGGTCTGCATGTTTCTAATTTCACCCTCTTAAAATTGGGCTGTAACTGTGTATCTTATGAAGCCTTACAGAACTGATAATGATCCTTCTTGTAATATCAACTGCTGCACCTTTCTGTTGAAAATCACCCGATATTTAAATATTTACCAGGCAAATTGTAGAACTGTTCAGTACACACATTACAGTATAGTTTTTGTATTGATTGAGATTAGATTCTGACGGTCAGTTGGGTTGAGTCCTCCAGCTGAGTTCAGTGTGCAAATGTACTAATTTTTTAAAAAAATAAGCTAAATCTAAACAAGAGTTCATTAGGCTGTAATTTAATGGCATATCAAATCAATTTCTTGGTGTTTGTGTCTTACAAAATACTGTATAAACATAACAAATCAATTTCTTGGTGTTTGTGTCTTACATTATGTTTATACAGTATTTTGTATCAGCAGCTCTCTTTTCCGGTTCTAGCAGACATTTTTTGTAGAAATTTGTACATACTTGCTTTGTTTAAATTTGCAGGTAGTTCCTGAGCTAACTGAAGCATTAAAGAAAAAGTGATTTTGAAGAAAAGAAAGATCTGTGTGCAACACCATTGAGTTGCTGGTTTCAGGCAGACTTTGAAATAATGAAAAATTGTCTACATTCTAACTTTGTCCTGTGTACTACCCTCATTTGCCTTTTCAGCTGATGTTGGACTGCAGATAATTTTGTGACCTGTCCCCCAAATTCTATAATAAAACATACAATGTAAAATCTAGCAGCTGGCAGTTGGTCTCCTTTTTAACTCCGAACTAGATTTGTGGAGGGGACAGAAATTATCCTTCTTTTCCAGAAACTTGTCTACAAACTGTAACAAATTTGCATTTGAACTATATTTCTATATTTTAGTTCTATCTCACAAGGCACATCATAGCATAGCTCATGTTTCTTTTTGGCAGGCTGACCAATAACAAGATTAATTGAACAAGTTTTTGAAAGGCTCAACATGATTGATTTTAGATCCTCCAAATTGAGAGTTTAAGAACTTCCTTCTCGCACTTGAGACTATATGCTGCAGGATCTCAAGAATGTCAGCTTTAACCCTTCGTGTAATGATTTTTGGTTTAATTTACCAGGTTCCTTCTGCCTTGTAACTTATTTTTATACTGACGTGGATGGGGTATGAAAGTACACAATTACTACTTTGATGTGTTTCTATTTGAAAACATCTTTATTTACATTAAATAAGTCAGTGCTTTTCTGTTGAGTGGAGTCATGTTATTTAATATTATGACAACCACAGTATTTATTATGCAAAGTAAAACTCCTTGAGTTTATATATAAAATATAAAAAAAATTTTGGGGGGGGAACTAATTTTTTTAAAGAGGTCTGCAACAACTAGACTACACTGGGAGTTACAGATGGGTTTGAAAGCCTCCAGAAATCAAGATGATTTTAGTCACTGTGTGTATCTTAGAGGAGCTTTTAGAAAGCTCAGTTTTGGATCTCTGTAAAACATTTGGGTGTTACAGAATTGTTTAATATGCCAACTACAGAGACTGATTCTGATTAATTGTGGATGAATTATGTTGAGCTGATATACAGTACTATTAATCTCCAAGTAACTGAATATATTGTTAAGCCTGTTGCCTCTTAGAGTAGTGCTATATTTGTTAGGGAAGTTAATTGTAAAAAATGTATACAAAAGTAACAAGCATCTGTGTAGTTAGGCTTTGTCCAAACACTGACCCCTGCTGGAAACTCTTAATATGCATGTGAACAATTAGTTATTTCTAGACAGTTTAATGTTTATTCTAAGCTGGGATGTTAACTTGCTTGTATTTGTGTAAACATGTAACTATAGGATTTTTTTAGTGGTTACATGTTTACATGTGACTGGGGGGTAGGAGACTGCTTTTAAGCCGACTCCTCATGTGTACCAGCTTCTTCCTGCCCCCCTCCACTGCTGTATCTCTGGGAGGCAGCAGTGCAGGGGGAAGGAGCTCCCCATGGGCACTAGCTCTTGTGCCCCCTCTTGCAGCCTCTGATACAGAGTCAGCGGGGGAGAGGTGCATGTAGCCACTAGAATTAAACGATAAACCCTAGATCATCGATTAATCATGTAAACAACCACACTCTAACATCCATATTCTAAACATTGACAAATCACAGGTAATGCTTTAACTTGACATATATGAAAGTTGGGGAATCTTAATTTATCTAAGTTTTATAAATAAGGTTAATTATCCGGAGGAAACAATAGCTAATACTAATTTACTTGGTAGAGCAGCTAGCAGTTGCAGTAGCAGTAAGCAGAAGTCCCTGGGAAATATATTTTTAAAATGTTCTATAGTGGGATGAGTGGCTGCCCACTGATCTGGAGGCGGGGAAACCCCTCAGGCAGCCATTTTGGGCACAGTCTAGACCCTCCCAGTCACTTGACCAGAAGCTTGGAGGCAGGGCTAGGACTATAAAAGTCCTCAGTTTGGGCCCAGCTTCTGGAGGAACCAGAGGCCTGCTCAGTGCTCCCTGCCTGGGAGGCCGAAGCTTGTCCTGAACCTCCAGTCTGGTCTGGAGGACCGGCCTGAACCCTTGCCCTGGCCTGCATGTGGAGACTGGCTGGGACTGGCTTGGACCTACCCGGACCCCCCAGCTGGACTTGAGCACCCTTGGCTCCCCGAGAATCCCAGGTACACGCTGAGGAGGAGAAGGGGAGTGGCGCAGGGAATAGTGAGGATGATTAAGTGCCTCAAGTAATCGCATTTCGGGCTGGAGCCCTGCTGACCCAGCAGCCAACTGTGCTGCTACTATCAGGACCACTACCGGGTGGCAGTCTCCCCCTCTCCGCCACTGCAGGCAAGCTGCCTGCACCGCTTCTGAGCAAGGAGACAGACTGTTGACTAAACTGGTTGCTTGCTGCCCTGCTCTGAACCAGGACAAGGGCTCTTTAGCCTGTGTGTTGGCTGCCCCTGCCTGAACTAAGGCCTGGGCTTCTAAAACAGCTGAACTGTGTTGCTTGCTGCCCTGCTCTGATCTAGGGCGAGGGTCTCCTGCACTTCATTTGTTCCCTTGCCTGAGCCAAGGCCTGGGTCCTGAACTTACAAACTGACTGTGGTGTTTGCAGACCTGCCTGAACCAAAGACAAGGCTTCTAAAACTGATTACACAGATTTGCCCTGCCATAATCATACCCCATACCAACACAGTTGTACACTTAACTCCTGAGAGGATACAGTCTCTGTTGTTCTTCCACTCTCTGGGATTGGAGTTTGGAGTTTCCTGGGATATTGAACAGGAACTGGAACATTCGCAGGAGCAGGGTGGTGTAGCCAGACAAGAAACCCCCCCCCCCCCCCGTAACATCCATCTTTGCTTGCCTGGAGCATACAGGGCACACAGAGCAGTAAAATCAGCATAATCTTTGAAGCCTTGACAGAAGGCCCAGATATTCTGGCTGCTGTGACCCTGGATGGCTGTAAACAGAGATACGCCAATTGTTGACCTCGAGGCTGCGAGAACTGCCTTGGTTGGCACCTATATTGATACAAACACACACTCGTCCGGGGGGAGGAATCTCCTGCCCAGTAAAGAATGTCCAGTACTCACAATTTAGTTATCTCTCTTGCAAGTGTAAATTAAGTTGAAACGCCCTTGTAAGAACTGGCGTCACAAAGACGGACCAGTACAATTTGGCATCTTAGATAAGAAAGAGGATACGGGCCCCTATGGGTATAAAGATGGGTCCAGCAGCACACTTACTCTGAGTGCCAATCTACCATATATCTGCTGGTCTGGATAGGTGATTGGCCTCCCGAGGTTCCACGGGGACACCCACCTCGTATTCGTCTTTCCTAGGAATTGAGGGACCGACCCTGGCCTGATACACTGGGCACAGAAGGGGATAAAAATTGTACCTGGATGTGGTCCTTTGTCTTAAATGTACACATAGACTTAGAGCGCTTTAGAGATTAAGCTGTCAGTTAGTACCATTATTTCTATTTTCTATCTTTATTTTCTTTGTAACCATTTTTAAGATCTATATTTGGTAGCAGTTAAGAAATAGAGCAATAGCCATTGTAACCATATGATTTATAAGCTTCTTTAATAAACCTGTAACTGTTTAAGCTTTAACCTGACTCCTTCAGTTGCTGTAACAGAACCAAGCACAATTTAAAAGAACTCCAGCTGGTCATAAGGGACAGATACAGGCAGAGCTGAGCATTTGGATCGTGTCGCTTCCAGGGGACAGATCCGTAGGGGCATCTCTTAGCCTTCCCTAGGCTGCCTGCTGCGAAGGGATCATGTATCCTACCAGTCAAAATCTGAAGTGTAATAAGCTCTCCCTGTAATCTCTGGGGCGTCTGTCAGCCTATTGGCTGCCCACCATGAAGGGACCTGGTCCTAGCGGTCAAAGACACGGACGTTAAACTTCTCGGGGCGCCCGTCAGCCTTCCCTAGGCTGCCCGCTGCGACGGGACCTTGTGTCCCAGCAGTTGAAGACTCAGGTATAACACACACACACGCTGACCATCGTCTGAGAGGTGGTCAGTTGGTGGGGCCTTCGCTTTAGCAATGCTTTCCTGTGTTTCCGCTTATATTCGCCTGGTCTCTGCCTTTATTTCTGCTATCTTGGCCTGCATTGCTGCTAGCTTCTCCAGAGGTTCTTGTTCGGCGCGCTCCTCCTCGGCTTCTATTTTAGCTAGCCTCGACAGATGTTCTTGTTGGGCGTGCTTCTCCTCGGCCTCATGTTGGGCACACTTCACCTCTGCCTCCGCTTTTCATTGGGCTGCTCTATCCTGATATTTTGTTTGTATTTGCTCCAGTTGTTGTAAGAACTCCACCTCTCGCTCAGTTAGAGGCCTGCCAGCTGCCTTACAGGCAGTTTCCCACGTAGAAGGCATTGCTGAGGGGAGGGGAGGACTGCTATAGCTTGCTCCTGCCTTCTCAAGGTTACTCCCTCCTGGACTCACAGGCTATGTCTACACTTGCGGCTTCTTGCATGATAAATATGCAAATGAGGCTGTGTGTGGAATATCGCCAAGCCTCATTTGCATACCTAATGAGCCGACATTTTTGCAGAAGAGGCTCTTGCGCCAGAAAGAGGTGTCTACACTGCCCCTTCTTGTGCAAAAAAGCCTCTCTTGAGCAATAGTTATTCCTGAAAATAATTGGCATAACAGCATTGTGCAAGAGGGTTTTTCTTGCGCAATACAGGATCACAATACATCCTGCACACAGGCATTTCCTAATATTCATGGTAGCTTCACATTATGTCCAGTACAGAGTCCTCCCATTCGTACTCTCCTCTGCCCCCAGAGTCTTTTCTAAGACCCTCCCTGTGACAGCAGACTATCTCAGACACAATGGCATTACAATATTTCCCTGTCTGGATAACTGCTTTATCAAAGGCCTTCACAACACACCATGAGAGGCATGATCAAGTTTACAAAGGCCTTTCTTAAGTTGCTAGGCTTTATTATCAATGAGCAGAAATCCACACTATGTCCTATGCAATCCCTGGAGTTCATAGTGGCTCGCATAGATTCCATTACAGCATGGATTCCACAATCACCATTTCGACAACATAAAAAGCCTTGTCACTATTGTTACCACCAGCCCAATCTGACCCATCCTAACTTGCCTCAAGCTTATGGGACACATGGCGGCCACCACATATGTAGTTCCACACACCAGGCTGCGTTTTCGATGTTTCCAATGCTGGATTTCTTCAGTGTATATGCCAGACAGCCGCCACGTCTCACCTCCTCCACGGGTCCT